CAGAGTTTTCCTTTAGTTTGTAGGTTTTTTTTGTTGGGCTCTTCTACATTCTTTCCTCAGTGAGGATATTGCTGATCTATTTCAAGGCTTGTTTGGAATAACATGTTCACTGTGTTCCCTGGGTAGTTCGTGCTGGGTAGTTCAAATTTGCTGCAAATAAGCAAAAGCTTTTTGTCCTCTTCACAAATTCAAATAAAAACAAGAAACTTGCTCTAGTGGAAGGTGTCCCTGCCAGTGGCAGGGGGATAGGAACTAGATAACGACTTTAAGGTCCCTTCCAATGCAAACCATTGTTATTCTATGATTCTATGAAAACAAATACTTGAATCTTTGATAATTGTTACTAGAACCAATTCTTGACCTCATTCTTTAAACTGAACATGGTTTTGAACAGCTTCAAGGCATTTTAGCTGGCTCCCTGTCTCACTAGGATGCTGGTCAGAAACATTTTGGGGCCATAGTTTGCAAGTCGTGTGGCATGATCTACACCGCTGCTAGCCCGGAGGATGAAGCCCAGCACATCCAGCACCATGAGAGATTCCTCGAGGGCCTCCGATATGTGGTAAGGCAATGGCTTCACTCGCAGCTCGGCTGAGGAAGATGGGGAGGAGATGTGCCATAGCCAAGAACATCAACAGGCAAAGGGTTTGTCATCCAGGGGGGAGGTTAAAGTGCAAGTTAGGCAGATCCAGTGACTGTCTGCCTTCATCAGTTTAATGAATGTGACTTGACTTTATTCCTGAAAGCCCCAGCAGGTCAGATTACAGCTTCATCTGCCAGAGCCTTCGCTGAATCACTTCCTCTCTCTTGCTAGACCACTAACTTGTTGTTTGGCTTTTTTTTCCCCTGTGTGGCAGGGTTGGAAGAAAGAACGGGTTGTGGCAGAGTTCTGGGATGGGAAAGTTGTATTGATTCTTCCAGATGACCCCAAATATGCCGTCAAGAAGGTACTTATTTGTTTATTTTGGGGGTTTATGTTGTAGATCAGCTTTCTGCTGGCTCAGCTCCTGGAACAACCTCAGTGCTTGATCATGCATTGTTTGCCAGTGCACGGGGTAAACGGGAGAGGCAAGTGGGGCTGTGGCAGCAGTCCGGGTTGCTGGGAACACCCGCCCTGACCCCTCCCTCACCCTGCTCCCTGCACTGAAGCTCTTGTTCTTACATGACCAACATAACCCAATCCTTTCCCTTCCGACTTGGGATGAAGGGCAGGTGTAGAAGGATTATGGTACGGAGATCGTTCTTGAATATTATCTGCAGTTAGAAGGCTCTTGTGGAGTGGGGAAGCACTTTAAAAATTGCTCTAAAGTGCTTCTATTTATTTTAGGGGGGAAAAACGTGTATTTACATAATGTGGCCTATATATCTATTTCACACTAGCTATGTGTGCAGTGAGAGCTCTCAGTATGGTGGGGAGCTGCAGAGCATTTCACAGCTTCATCGTGAAGTTTGACCTTGTGAAAAAACAGGATTATTTGGGGGAATGAGACCCTTTTTCTGACAGGTTTCACACACAGTCAAAGAATGTGTGTGTTAGTACTTAATGTGTTCCTCTCTCTGGTTTTGTTGCCTTAGGCAGAAGATGTACGAGAGATTGTTGATAACGAATTGGGATTTAAACAAGTTTCTTTGAGCTGCCCAGCCAAGACTAAAATATACTTGTTTGTGGCCAATGAGAAGATGGTTGTTGGGTGCTTAGTTGCTGAGTCCATCAAGCAGGTACATGATATTAATTATACGGGAGAGGGTGATGTTGCAGGCTAATAATAGGGTGAACAAGGCCAAGTGAAGGTCCTGCACTTGGGTCGGGACAATCCCAAGCACAAACACAGGCTGGGGGAGACTGGGATGAGAGCAGCCCTGAGGAGGAGGACTTGGGGTGTTGGTCAATGGGAAGCTCACTGTGACCCAGCAGTGTGCGCTTGAGCCCAGAAACCAACCGTGTCGTGAGCTGCATCATCAGCAGTGTGACCAGCAGGTCAGGGGAGAGGATTCTTCTCTGCTCTGGTGAGATCCCCCTGCAGTCCTGCAACCAGCTCTGGTGCCCCAACATAAGAAGGATGTAGAGCTGTTGGGAGTGAGTCCAAAGGAGGCCACAAAGATGCTCCGAGAGCTGGAGCATCTCTGCTATGGAGACAGGCTGAGAGAGCTGGGCTTGTTCAGCCTGGAGAAGAGAAGGCTCTGGAGAGACCTTAGAGCAGCTTCCAGTGCCTAAAGGCACCAACAAAAAAAGCTGTAGAGGAGCTGTTTTTGACAAGGCCTATAGGGACAGGACAAGGGGGAATGGCTTTAACCTGACAGGGGAGATTGAGATGAGCTCTTAGGCAGAAGTTCTTCCCTGTGAGGGTGGTGAGGCCCTGGCACAGGTTGCTCAGAGAAGCTGTGGCTGCCCCATCCCTGGCAGTGTTCAAGGCCAGGTTGGATGGGGCTTGGAGCAACCTGGTCTAGTGGAAGGTGTCCCTGCCTGTGGCAGGGGGTTGGAACTGAATGACCTTTAAGGTGCCTTCCAACCCAAACCATTCTGTGATTCTATGAAGTTGCAGGCTGTTAACAGGGGCTGTTGGCATAAGGCTGCATATTGGAAATCCCAGCTTAGCACAGGAGGCAGGAAAATAAGGAAATAAAGAAAAAAAGTCACCCATAAAACAAAAGAAAAAGGAATTGAAGCAAAAGCCTGTACTTTCGTCAGGGGGATTTTGGCAGCAGTTAGCTGGGTTTGCATGGCTGATGCTGCAGTGAGTGTCTGCCCCGGTTCGGGTGAGGTTGCGTGTCGTGTCCTGCCTCACAGAAGAGCTGGGGGAAAGGCTGGGAGCACAGGAAGGTACATGCATCTTTTGGGAATGATTCCTCTGCTCATCCCTGCAGGCTTTCCGGGTGCTGTGTGAGCCAGGATCTGTGCCGGGATCGCCGGGACAGGACGCGCTCCAAACTCAGCGGGCTTGGCGCTGCTCCACAGAGCCAGAACCTGCCATCTGTGGTGTGAGCAGGATCTGGGTATTCGGCCCCAGGCGCGGCAAGGGCATCGCCCGGCGTATGGTGGATGTGGTCAGGTACGGAGCAGCGGGGAGCCAGGGTCCTGGCTGGGGTTTATCCATGTAGAGGGAAAAGCGACTACTGCAGCAAGAAGTGTTGAGAAGGAACTTAAGGAAAGGAAGAAATGTGTATTGCTGAGCAAGTCTGGAATCCCCACTTTGCAGTGGAAGGATACCATGTGGACAGATTTCTATGTATATCTGATATTTAAATGATTAAAAATCTGACACAAGCATGGGCCAAGCCGTTAACTGCTGGGTACAAGAGGAATGCAGAGCTACACAGACTAGCTTTCCAAGAGACACTGCTTTTCTGGGGGGGAAATATATTTCTTTTTTTTACTGGATAATTTGATGGGCCAAAACACTTGACATTTTTCAGGCAGGAAATTCTGAGCTTTTCAAGCTCAGAGCAAACTGGGAGGAAGACTTATTAATGAGGGTAAGTTTTTATGGGCTGCCTTAGGACTGAGCTTGGGAGTCCAAGCGCCTGTAGCAGCATGCATCTTCTCTGTTGTATCTGCTCCCTATCTGTGTATAGAAAACAGCTGTATGAAGTCTATGAGTACTTATATATTAATATGTATCATCATACGTGAGTGTATTTGGAGCTCAGTATTTTGAAAATTCATCAGCCCATGTTCAGCCCTTGCTTTCTCCTGTGGTTAGTGTTTGATGTACCACCTCTGTGACATGATACCTCCCAGCCCCACAGGATCTGCCAGGTTAGATGGGGCTTTGAGCAACCTGGTCTAGTGGAAGGTGTCCCTGCCTGCGGCAGGGATTGGAACTGGATGATCTTTAAGGTGCCTTCCAACCCAAACCATTCTGTGATTCAATGATTCTGACTGTGAGTGCCCCCAAGAGTCCTGATGCTCCCATGCTGAACTTCATTTGGAGCGGCTCCAAGATACTGAACCAAAACCTCTGGGTTCTCATATAAAACTGCACGTGTGGGTTTTCTGCTTGTATGTGATCTTAAATTACCCTTCCTCCTCATTTTAAACTGGCTCCTGATTACACCAGAATCCACGAACAAACTGGGATCTTGCACTGATCGCTGGTTCAAAGCAAAGTGAAGCACTAACAGCTCCCTGCAGCAGAGGGAAGGGGGGGGAAACACCAGTGGGTGTTTCAGGTATTGGATGAAGCAGCCAGCAAGTGTTTGCCCTGTGCTGATAGCTCTGCTCTCTTTCAGGAGCACATTCATGTACGGCTGCTACCTGAGCACTGAGGAAATCGCCTTCTCCGACCCAACGCCGGACGGCAAGCTGTTCGCCACGAAATACTGCCAGACCCCCAACTTCCTCGTTTACAACTTCATTTATAACAACTGATTCAACTTGGTGATTTCAAGTTGGGGTTTGTTGAAATCACCCAAGATAATCTGTGTGGCTTAAAGTAACACTTAAATGTTGTTACCTGGCCAAATGCTGTTTTCCTGCTGAGCGCTAGTTCTTCCTCCCCTATGAAGGGGAGAGGGTCACTTTGTGTACAGAGTTGTGTTAGATTTTAGTGCAACCTTGCTTGGATTTCAGGTGGGTTTGTTTCTTTTAAAATTGAATTCTATTACAAATAACTTAATTTTGTTGAAAGGTTTAATTAATATAAAGATTGCTCTTTCCTTCTTTACGTGTGGGTATGTAATCCTGAGTGCTGTGTCGTAAAGGGCTTTGTTTGGGGTAGTAGCCTCAGTACAAGCAGCTAGTAAATTTATGTACAGAGGAGTAGGAAATGTATTTTTGTCTTGATCTTACACCCTCTTTTCCCAGCCTGTAGTGTCAGAAAACTTTTTCCTTGAGCAGGCAGCTGCTCTCCCTTGGTAATACGCTGTTACCTATGGGCTGCTGCCCCCAACCACCTCGGGAGCACAAATACATTACACAACAGCCCTCCAAAGCTTGTACATACCTGGTAGAGTCACACATGTGCTCCTTAAGAGAGAGAAAACGCCCCTTTCACCTGAGATAAACTAAAATACATTTATTATTAACATCTTAGTCACAGAACTGTTAATTCAACATAGATGGGGGGAAGGGTTTGAAAACATCTGTAATACAACAATTAAAGGAAAACTGTTGCACAGAGCATCTAGCTTACTTGGGACCTGACTGTATGTGGGAGGGGATTGCTCTAAGAGCAGGGCGAGCCCCAGTTGCCTAGGACATCCTTAAAACAGGGGTTAGCATTTAAAGAGCTTAAGCTCTGTGTTTAAGTACATAGAACAGTTTTCACATACTCGAAGGATAAACACTGCAGGAGTACACTTACTCTTTCTTCTAACTTAATCCCTGAGCACTAGGAGCTCAGATGCTTTTACCCCTAGGCCAGACTCGCCTCCAGGACTTCCACGATGCATGCGGCTGAGGGACGCTTCTTGGGGTCCTCACTGGTGCAGACAGAGAAGAGATCGATCATGTGCTGGTAGGATGAGTCCAGCTCATCTATGTTGAGGGCTGGGCGTGTTCCCAAGGCGTTGTAGTATGCTTCCTCATCAAAGGAGTCTTCGTTGAAAGATTCATCTGGACAAGAAGGTGGCAAAGTCATGGGGCTTTACTCCCCCTCATCCATTTCACAAGGGTTAAGGTTAGATGGGACCTTAAAGCTCATCTACTTCCAATCACTTGCCACAAGCCGGGACACCTTCCACTAGACCAGGTTGCGACAAGCCCCTGTGTCCAACCTGGCCTTGAACACTGCCAGGGATGGGGCAGCCACAGCTTCTCTGGGTAACCTGGGCCAGGGCCTCACCACCCTCACAGGGAAGAAATTCTGCCTAAGATCTCATCTCAATCTCCCCTCTGTCAGGTTAAAGCCATTCCCTCTTGTCCTGTCCCTACAGGCCCTTGTCAAAAGCCCCTCTCCAGCTTTCTTGTCAGCCCCTTTAGGCACTGGAAGCTGCTCTAAGTTCTCCCTGGAGCCTTCTCCAGGCTGAACAAGCCCAGCTCTCTCAGCCTGTCTCCATAGCAGAGCTGTTCCACCCCTTGGAGCATCTTTGTTGCCTCCTCTGGATTTGCTCCAACAGCTCCACGTCCTTCTTTAACGTGTTGGGGATTCCAGAGCTGGACACAGGACTGCAGGGGGATCTCACTAGAGAGGAGCAGGGAAGGAAAATTCCCTCCCTCGACCTCCTGGTTACGCTGCTGCTGATGCAGCCCAGGACACAGTTGGTTTCTGGGCTGCAAGCGCACACTGCCAGGTCATGTCTAGCTTTCTATCCACCAGTATCCCCAAGTCTTGGCCTTGCAGGTGTGCAGTGGGATGTGACCTCCATGTCAGCTTTGCTATTCCTGTTAGCAATAATTACTGCCTGGGATACATCATTACTTTCTGTTTGGCTTAAAGTACATGTTTTGAAGCCACATCTATCCCCTTTCTCCCTGCAGAATAACTGAGTCACCCCTGCAGAGCTGGCTGGGAAAAAGCTCTGCAGCCCGGGGATGCAGTTAGAAAACACAAGGCAGCCTGTGGGGCTGTGCCAGCCTGAAGGCTCTGGCAAGAGTTTTCCCAGCACAGCCTGTAAGTTCGTTAGTTTTGCGGTGCTCCAGTGTGCAACTCTGCCTGCAAGCAGCAATAGCACCCTCTGCCCATCCAATCTGATCTGTGTAACTCTGAACAAGGGGGTCTCCAAGAAGGCCAATGGCATCCTGGCCTGTATCAGCAATAGTGTGGCCAAGGAGGGCCAGGGCAGTGACCATCCCCCTGTACTGGCACTGGTGAGGCTGCACCTTGAATCCTGTGTTCAATTCTGGGCACCTAACTACACATTGAGGTGATGGAGCAGGGCCAGGGAAGGGCAGCAAAGCTGGTGAAGGGTCTGAAGCACAAGTGTGATAAGGAGCAGCTGAGGGAATTGGGGGTGTTCAGTCTGGGGAATTGGGGGTTTAGGGGGCACTTTTTCACTCTACAGCTATCTGAAAGGAGGTTGTAACAAGATGGAGGCTGGTCTCCCAGGTAACAAGTCACAGAACAAGAGGAAATTGTCTCAAGTTGCACCACAGGAGGTTTAGACTGGGTATTAGGAAAAATTTCTTCCTGAAAGGGCTCTCAAGCGCTGGAACAGGCTGCTCAGGGCAGTGATGGAGTCACTGTCTTTGGGAGTGTTTAAAAGATGTGTAAAACTTGTGAACATGGTTTAGTGGTGGGCCTGGCATTGCTGGGTTAATGGTTGAACTCAGTGATCTTAAGGGTCTTTTCCAGCATGATTGATTCTGTGATTCTATGGCCAATCCCATGGGCACATAGGAGGTGCCCAAAGTAATTCCTCCTGCTTCCACCAAGCTTTCTTAGTGCTGAGAGGGTATTTGCAACCCTAACACTGGCCGTGGCACAGCACATTTGGTTTAGTTTCTCTGTTCCAAAAGGCTCAAATATTCTTGTGTACCCTTTCAAGCATGATGTCATTTTTAGGTATTTTCTGGCCATGTCATTTTAGTGGCATTTCAACAGCACCCACCACACAACTACAGCCTGGATGATTGCTCCTGTGCTGCATGGATGTGGGACGGAGCTGGAGCATGGCTGAGAGAGCTACACAGCTCTCAGGGGAGCAGCCCTCCAGCTCAGGGACATCTTTGAAGCCTACCTCTCTGTGCTGACAAGCAGCTGAAGATCAAGGTGAGCTGTCAGGCTAGCAGCTGGTCTGCAATGATTAGTTACCATCATCTATCAACTCATTTGAATTTAAAAACCTAAGCAAAGTTGAAAGTGGCCTTGGAGTAGTGCTGAGCACCTCTGTGCTGCAGCAAACTCCTCAGTGAGCTCCCCAGCATTGCTGGGAGATGCAGACAGCGCAGACAGATGACTGCAAAGCCCTTCGGATGGCACCTGAGGGAGACCTAGCACTGTGGGGATACTAACACACACTATAAAAATCAGTCCTCCTCAGAGAAGGCATTCCTAGGAGCAGAATTTGCTCATCAGCAAGATATGGAAACAAACCTTCATCATCAGGCTCATCGCCCAGATTGAGGTGGGGCACAGAGAGGGTCATCATTTCCCAGAGAGTCAGCCCAAAAGGGAAGATGTCAGCCTTGTCGGTGATGATGCCATCGTCCTGCAGAGCTTCCTTGGGCTTCCAGGGCTCAGTGCCAATGTAGTACATGTTAGGGTCACTTACTGAAAGGAAAAGACACTGCTCAAGTCTGCTAGGACTCACAAATACTGTGAGATGCAGTCACAGCTCAACACACAGCAGGGAGTTAGCCTGTCAGTTAGCTCAGGTGTGCTAAAGCCATACGGCAGGATATTCTGTGAGCCTGAACCCATTTTTCTTTCACACCTGCATAGTCTCAAATTCCCCCTGCCCTGCATCATGCTCTGCAGAAGTGCCAGACCCAGTGCGGCTCATGCTTCTCTACTGCAGGCCCAGCAACACATGCTGGGAACTGCAGAGAAACCTCCATGAGGTTTGAGGCCATGCAGAGAAGAAGTGAACCATCATCTTAATATAGGATCACAAAATGGTTTGGGTTGGAAGCGACCTCAAAACTCATCCGATTCCAACCCCCTACCATGAGCAGGGACACCTTCCCCTAGACCAGGTTGCTCCAAGCCCTGTCTAACCTGGCCTTGAACATTGCCAGGGATGGGGCAGCCACAGCTTCTCTGCACAACCTGTGCCAGGGCCTCACCACCCTCACAGGGAAGAGCTTCTGCCTAAGAGCTCATCTCAATCTCCCCTTTGTCACGTTAAAGCCATTCCCCCTTGTCCTACAGGCCCTTGTAAAGCCTCTCAGCCTATCTCCATAGCAGAGATGCTCCAGCCTGTGGAGCTTTCTTCATGGCCTCCTCTGTACTCCTTCCAACAGCTCTACATCTTTCTTATGTCAGGGGCCCCAGAGCTGGACGCAGTTTTCTCCAGTTCTCATCACTGTTCAATTTAATGCCTCTTTGATTTTAATTTGCCTCGGGAGAGCTGAAGCAATCAGCTCTCAGCCTGACAGAGGCAGCACTATCTCTGACCCAATCCTTTTCACCCCACTCCCAAGAGGAGGTCCCACATTTCTCCTCACTCTCCCAAGCTATTGGCAATCTCAAGCTGTTTAAGAAACTTTTGTCTCCTGGGGCGGACTGTCAAAGCCCTGCCTGTAACAACAAGCAAATGCCAAAATCCTTCAGCACTTAATGGGCTGTTGCACTTTAATCCTGGGCAGGGACTGGCCCTTTCACTGTTGTTTGGTGCCCGTTGTCTCCTCAAGACCATGGGGAGGCAAAGCCAAAATCAGGGCTGGGTGGAAAGGACTTCTTCCTGTTCAACCAGCCCAGAAACTGATACTTGAGCCACTCTCCTCTCCAGGAGATTACGCTGGGCGCTGCCTCCCGCTCTCTCGCTCCTTATAAAAGGGAAGAGCCACTAATAAAAATCTAATGGAGCAGCTTTATAAATTACGAGGCTGTCGCAGGCCCAAGCGCTGTGTAAAGCGGCACAGAAAAGCATTCTTGTAATTAACCCAAACACATTCCCGCTGCTCACAGCCAAGCCACGACGCCATTAGACATCTGCTTCTCGTTTACATGAAGCCTTTATAACACTCACACTTGGCTTGCGCTTCCTTCTAGCCCTACGAGAAAGATTCATTTACTTGGCTCTCTGGCAAGAGCATCTCCTCAGCTGAGTCTAGCAGGGCGTCAGCCAGCATCCTGTGTCCACGTACAAGCACAGGAGGGCACAAGATGGACATCACAGGTCTGAAAAATTAAAGCTGGACCTTCCAGATATCCCCTTCACGCAATGTGGGGTGCGAACAACTTGCCAGTTCTTCTCTCCATGGACGCAGGAGGGCAACTGCATTCCCTCTGCTCCTGGAGCCAACCTCAAGAAGCCACTAAGCATCCAGATCCCCTTCCTGAAGCCCAACCTACCAGTCATGTTCTCATCCAGGGGCAGGGACACTCCCACATCACAGATCTTGATGGCTTCAAAGTCACCTTTAATGACCACATTGGAAGACTTGATATCTCCATGGAGCAGCTTCTTATCGTTGTGCAGATACTAAGAGGCAGAGAGAACCTGTTAACACCCGCCTACATCTGTGGAGAGGCAGGAAGTGCCATTGGATTTGGACAACAAAGCACCAGCTTCTTCAATATTTAGTGTGTTTAGCTTTAAACTAAGCTCACAGATGGGTCAACACCTTCCTTAACACTTACAAGGAAGTTTTCTTCCACCCAGCATACTGCTGACTTTTAGTGAAAGGCTGTGAGAAGCACCTCAAACAACAAGCCCTTGAGAGCAGGTGCAAAACACAGGCATTAGCTGATGGCCAAGTGTGGGTCTGTGTTACCCTGGGAGCTTAGAGCTACATGTCCTTGGCAGGAATAGCACAGGACTCATTGTCACAGCCACCTGTGCTTTTACCCTGAGCACTGGCAGAGCCCAGGAGAGGGTCAGAAGCCATGCTGTGGTTTAGTCTCAGTTTCTCCACCTTTTCCCTGTACACACAACCTCAGTGGCATCAGCTGGCAGCCATGGGCATCAGTTAACCAATTTCTGTGCCACAACCAGCTCCCTGCAGCTGCCTGGGGTGGCAATAAGGATGCAAGAGCCAGCAGCCAACCTGCTCTCCTGGCTAGCAAGCTGGGACAGTGGGTAGCCCCAAGGGAGGGCAGCAGGATATTCATGACAAAACCTCTCGTTGCATGTCATGTTGTATTCAGTCTCAAGCCTCAGGATTCAGTTTTCACCCTGTACAGCACCCTGGTGAAAGAAACACCACCAAGCATCTGCTCTCCATCTGCTGGCACAGCACACTAAATCCCTTTATATTTCCAGTGTCCCCAGTGTGTACGATTCCACACAGAACAGCTACAGTTGAACATTAAACATACCTTCAGCCCCCTCGCCATGCTCAAAGCGACTTTAAAGATAGTGGCAGCAGGGAAAGGGCCCAACCGTTTTGCACTTCTTTCTTCAATTAAGTCACAGAGTGATTTTTCTCCTCCATACTCCATGGCCAGGCACATGCTTCCATCGTTGGCCTCGGTGAAAGCGCGGTAACCTGCCAACAAAGATCATTTGTTAAGAGCCGACGCAGGCACTGGCATTTCCGCATGCTTGCCGGCCTGATGGAGCCAAAGCATTTGGGGCTACTGCCCAGGTGCTTTCCTGGTGCATTCCCAGATGCTGCAACCCATCCCAAGCCAATTCACTCCCCAGGGGAGCTGCTTGCAGCTTTACATGGCAAGGCAAAGCCACAAGAACATCCACAGTGGCCAGCGCAGACCCAAGCCACAAGCCTCATTGAGGGAAAGGAGCTTCCTCCTCCAGGAGGGCCCACAGGCACCTTTTGTCTTGCTTCCCTGGTCAGCTTTGCACCCTGTGCCCAGGGCATGGAGGTTTGCCCTCACCTTTGCAGGGTGGACAACCAGGAGAAAGGAGAGCAGCAGCAGACCTGCAGGACCAACATGCCCATTTCAAAGACAAGGAGCCACAGGACCAAGAGAAAGGCTGGTGGGGAACCTTTGGGAAAGCCAAGCCCTCTTCTTGCAGGGGCCATTTCACAAGGTCAAGGCTTGAGCATATGGACAGTCATGTAAAGGTTCTTCCCCTGTGTTTTACTCCTGTCCGTAACCAATACTTTTTGGGTGGAGTTACAAATGGCAACATCTTGCATAATGGCATAGCTGAAGTGTTATTCCGTAACTGATTTATGGCACCTTTTTCAAAAGCAGCAGTGAAATGTTTGCAGTGTGAGAGGCTGAGCCTATCTCTGCTCTTGAATTCCTGGCAGAAGCAAGACGTGCTGGTTTAGGGATACAGAGTTCCTTGCACGCAGCATTGCTAGCACAACTGACTGTACCGAGATAGTTTAAAGAACAAATAAAAGGATGAAGTCAGAGGAAGCTGTTCTGACTGGCACGAGAGATTTTAGATAAGAGCAGAAATTAAACACAGACTAAAGCAGCTCCTCAAAATATTCCTATCACTGAGAGCCAAGAGCATGACAGAGTCTCAACTGCCACCTCACAAAAGTGTCAGCAGTGGGGGACCCAGAGCCTCATTCCACACACAGAAGCCATCTCAGACACCATAAAGGGGTTACCCATCCTTTGCCATGTTACAAGTAGACTCTCCCCATGCTGGAGCAGCTCCACAGTACAAAGCTGGCAGCAAAACACCTCTCAGCTCCGGGGCAGCCTCTGCACAGCATCAGCTTGCGAGATACCAACCTCTCAGTGACTAACGCAAACCTCAACAGGCAACAGTGCACCACGGTGTGCCACAAGCCACATTTTAGGGCAAACCCCATTGCCTTTCTCCTGCACTGGCTCAGAGAGAGAGCTTCGGGTGTTCACCATCCCTCTAGTATGATAGCAAGGCAGGGGCCCTGTGCATGCCAACAGCACCCTGGCTTCTATCAGCAAGTGTGGAAGGCAGGACAAGGGCAGTGACTGTTTCCCTGTACTGGGCACTGGTGAAGCCACATCTTGAATCCTGTGTTCAGTTTTAGGCCCCTCACTACAAGAATCATAGAATAGTTAGGGTTGGGAAGGACCTTCGTATCATCTAGCTCCAACCCCCTGCCATGGGGCAGGGATACCTCACACTAAACCATGTCACCCAAGGCTCTGTCCAACCTGGCCTTGAACACTCCCAGGGATGATGGAGCATTCACAGCTTCCGTGGGCAACCCATTCCAGTGCCTCACCACCCTTACAGTAAAGAACTTCTTCCTTACATCCAATCTAAACTTCCCCTTTTTAAACCCATTACCCCTTGTCCTAATGAAGAGTCCCTCCCCAGCATCCTTGTAGGCCCCCTTCAGATACTGGAAGGCTGCTATGAGGTCTCCACGCAGCCTTCTCTTCTCCAGGCTGAACAGCCCCAACTTTCTCAGCCTGTCTTCCTACAGGAGGTGCTCCAGTCCCCTGATCATCCTCGTGACCTCCTCTGGACTTGCTCCAACAGCTCCATGTCCTTGTTATGTTGAGGACACCAGAACTGCACACAGGGCTCCAAGAGGGGTCTCACCAGAGTGGAGCAGAGGAGGAGAATCCTCTCTCCTGACCTGCTGGTCACACTGCTGGTGATGCAGCCCAGGATACAGTTGGTTTCTGGGCTGCAAGCGCACACTGTTGCATCGTGTCGAGTTTCTCATCAAAAAAAGACATTGAGGTGCTGGCGTGGGTCCAAGGAAGGGCAGTGGAGCTGGTGAAGGGTCTGGAGCACAAGTTTTATGAAAAGCAGCTGAGGGACCGGGGGATGCTTAGTCTGGAGAAAAGGAGGCTCACTTGCACTCTAAAACTACCTGACAGGAGCTTGTATAGAGATGGGGCTGGTTTCTTCTCCCAGGTAACAAGCAATAGGACAAGAGAAAACAACCTCAAGTTGCACCAGGGGAGGTTTAGATTGGATATTAGGAAAAATTTCTTCCCTAAAGGGCTGTCAAGTGCTGGAACATGCTGCCCAGGTCAGCAGTGGAGCCACCATTCTCGGAGGGATTTAAAGCATGCGTAGATGTGGCACTGAGGGACATGGGTTAGTGGTGGGCTTGGCAGTGCTGGGTTAACAGTTGGACTCTATGATCTTAAGGGTCTTTTCCAACCTAAATTATTCATGATTCTGACACCATTCAAACTGCCCTGGCAGTTCTTGTCAGACAGAGCAAGACTAAGTTAATTTAAGAAGGTCCAGGGTAGGTCTGGCCCAGGGAGATCTAGAACCCACAGCCCTTGGTGTGAAAGGAGCCCAGAGAAACCCTGCAGCCACCTTGTGTTACATCACCTGGCTCCTGAATCAGCTCCAGTGGCTCAAATTGCAATTTAAGCAACACAAGCTGCGCTGGAAACTCACCCACAATGTTGGGGTGCTGGAGGTTCTCTAAGATCTTGGCTTCATCCTTCAGTCTCTGCTGATAGATGCTTTGCTGGCTGCTGTTGCATTTGGAATTGATTTTCTTCACAGCCCATGGGGAGTGAGACAAGCCTCTGGGAGATCTGCATGGGAAAACCCACATGGCTCAGAACCACCCCACTGGTAAGCAGCACCATGTTTGAAGCTCACATAGGTCACTGAGGAACTCTTTTGGAGAGCATCTGCATTTATTTTGTGGAATGAATAAAGAACAATGCTGAAATAAATGAAAGCTTGCCAATGCGCACACTGCAGACGTGTGTGCAACCCCTGCCCCATCCACAGTGCTCCTCCAGTGAGTTTCCAGTTGTCTTAAAAAAGGAGATTTGTATTGAGTCACAATTTCTGGTGGAGGAGCAGCGGCTCAGGGAGGGAGGCAGCTGCCCAGCAGGCCACGGCAGACAGGAATGGACCCAGCACATGAACTCCAGGGAAAGGCTGAAGGGATTACCCCAAAACAGTGGGCTCCTTCTCAGCACCAACACCTCCAGCACACATGGGACAGCTGTAAATCCCACCCGCCTTCCTTGACAACATGCCCAGTTGAAGGGGTGCAGGCAGTATAGGAAGGCCAATGCCCCGAGGGCTGGAGCACCTCTGCTATGGAAACAGGCTGGGAGAGCTGGGCTTGTTCAGCCTGGAGAAGAGAAGGTGCCGCAGAGACCTTAGAGCAGCTTCCAGTGCCTAAAGGGGCTGACAAGAAAGCTGGAGAGGGGCTTTGGACAAGGGCCTGTAGGGACAGGACAAGGGGGAATGGCTTTAACCTGACAGAGGAGAGATTGAGATGAGATCTGAGGCAGAAGTTGTTCCCTGTGAGGGTGCTGAGGCCCTGGCACAGGTTGCCCAGAGAAGCTGTGTCTGCCCCATCCCTGGCAGTGTTCAAGGCCAGGTTGGATGGGGCTTGAAGCAACCTGGCCTAGTGGAAGGTGTCCCTGCCTGTGACAGGGCACTGGAAGTGGATGAGCTTTAAGGTCCCTTCCAACCCAGACCATTCTGTGGTTCTATTTTTCTAAGGGGAAAAGACGCCAAGCCCCATTTCCAAGCACCACCTCACACTGTGCTCTCACAAGTACCTTTTCATCAGGTAGACGTTGACCCCAGTGCCGTATCCAAGCTTCTGCATGAAGGGGGAGGCTGGAATAGTGACAGAAACTGGCCCCACATCTAAAAAGAAAAGAAACCCAGCCCCATGAGTGACCCCATGCAGCAGATCAGAGCTGCTTGGCTGGGATGGAGGCAGTGAGTGGATTCCTGAGCTGCCTTTAATCATTCTTCTTCACCAATTATGCCAGTTTTATCTCAATTCATCAGTTTTCTCACTGTTACCCTCCCGATTCTCCGCCCATCCTACTGGGAAGAAGAGAGCAAGTGGCAGCAGCCCAGGTTAACCCCCATACACTCTGTTTCTTCACCAGCCCCTCTAGAAACAAGGCACACACCTCAACAAAACTCACCTGGTTTCTCCCTCTGGAGCAGTTTATTTTGAGACCTGAAGGCTTCCATCATGCAAGCCTGATTCCTACAACACAGGAGAGGCTTTTGTTATATCTCCACCCCTGGAACGCAGGAGGAACCCCATGGAAGGGCCTGGGAGCACAAGCTGTCGGGACTCTAGCCCTAACCCAGGCAGGGGCGCTACAGGTACCGCAATGGTACGTTAAAGGGGCACTAGAGGTACCGCAATGGTACGTTAAAGGACATAAGTTAGACAAATAACACCTGTTGGGAAGCTCGTTTGGCTCCCGGCTCCCCTCAGCAAGCAGGTTAAGAGCTGAGGCAGGGATGTGCCTCCCTGCACGCCCAGCTCCATGGGCTCCCTCCCTTGTCAGCGCTGCGTCCCTGCGGGGCTCATCACCCCGGGGCTGGCCTGCAGAGGTGGGGTGAACCCTGCAACAGGGCTGGGGTGGCTCAGAAGCGAGGCAAGAGCCCGGGATGGGTGTCCTAAAGGAACCAGCACGGGATGTAGCACCAAAGGAGGGAGCTGGAGGTGTATGAAGCATCCCCCCAAGAGGATGGGACTGGGGGTCTCACCTCCAGGGTGAGCGGGGCTCCAGGTAGGAGGGGGGCAGGAGAGCACTGATGGGTGCTGTCAGAGGGGGTCCCAAATCGGGATGGAGGGGACGCGACTCCCGGTCCCCACCTCAGGGGCGAGGGGAGGCGCACGGCCGGGTCTGCTGGACCCCGTCGCGGTGAGGAGGGGCCGGAGCAGCCCCGCGCTGACACCGACACCGACACCGAGACCGGGACCGGGACCGACACCGAGACCGGGACCGAGACCGGGACCGGGACCGGGACCGGGACCGGGACCGGGACCGGGACCGGGACCGGGACCGGGACCCACAGACCGACCCCGCTCCACCGTTACCTGCCGCTGGCGTCACCGCCGTTTGAATCCTGCGCGCGCGAAACCGCCACCTCCCCGCTACGGCGGCCGCGGGCGGACAAAGCTCGCCGGAACGCGGAGGGGCGGGGGGGAGAGCGAAGGTCCCCAAGTGGTTTTGGGGGGTTCATGGGGGTCCCCAAGGCCTAGGGGGTTGGGGATCGGAGAGAGCACCGGGGTGTTTGGGGGATTCTGTGGGGTCCCAAGCCCTTCGGGGGTCCCTATAGGGTTCCAAGCCCTTGGGGGGTGGGGGTCTCTGGGGTCCCCAAGCCCTTAGGTGGGGTCTCTGTGAGGTCCTCAGCCCATACGGGAAGGTCTCAATGAGATCCGCGAGCCATTGAGGGGGTCCCCATGGCATTGCCGAAACTTTCCGGGGAGGGTCTGTGTTGGAGCCTGAGACGGGGAGGCACAAAAGCGCGGTGCAGTCAGTTCTAGGTAACGTTAAGTTTTGTGGCTTTGTAATGGAAAATAACCGCGGTGCTTGAAGGTAGCTGACACAGGTTCAGGTCCTTAGGACCTTAGCACAAAAGGTGTATGAAAAGCAGACTAGAAAAACCGGACCTGGGGATGGGGAGTATCTGGGAGTAGCAGATGTCTAGGGTGGGAGCAGTTAAACTAACTGGTAAGCAGGAGAGGACCATTGCTATGTCTGTAATGTTAATTAAGCTGGTGCTTCAAAGACTGCCAGAAGCTACGAAGGTTGCTGGAAAAGTAAAGGACCCTTAAAGACCACCGCCACATTTTTGTATGCACGGGGGAAACGTTCTGGAAAATGATGTAACTCATATGCAGCCTCATGTACAAGGTTCGCCTGTATAGCAATACGGGGACACACGTTAGGAGGAGCTATCCCCGTGTCTCCCGGCGCCGCAATAAAGAGTACCTGCTTGTCGGCTTTGAAACTGTCGGCGAGTTCATTCCTGGAGTTTTCTCCGAATCAAGCCCCAGGCTGTGGCGGGGGTCAGGGCTGTCTCTGGGGGTCTCCCTCTTTGGGGGGGGGGGTCTACAGGTCCCCAAGTCCTTGGGGGTGTTCCTGGGGGACTGCAATCCCTGAGGGAAGGGTGTCTCTGTTGGAGGGGGCTCTGTACCCCCACTCAACTGCAGGGGCTTCTTGAACCAGGGCTGAGCCCGTCTCAGGGTCTGTAGTTATGATTCCCCCATGCATCCCTCCCCGCAGCCCCATCACACTGTGACCCCCCCAGGCACGGCTCCAGCAGCACGGTAGAGAATAATAAAAAGGCATTTATTTCTCTAATAATAAACCCATTTCAGGAAGCACAGGGGAAGCTGTGGGGAGGGCTGAGACTCTTGGAACCCCCGCAGCCAGGCCGGGGGTGTCCCTGTCCCCCCCCATCACGGTGTCAGGCATTTCACACCAGCGTCCTCGGCGTGGCCGCAGTTGGTCTTGCCCCAGCTGGAGAAGCTGCAGCGCAGAAGGCTGTCCTCTGTCCCCTTGCAGGAGACGTCGTCCATCCAGATCCTCCCCGTGCCTGCAAAGACAGGGACCCGGTCAGTGGCATTGGCACCAGCACCGGCATCAGCATGTTGGTGGATCCCCTCCATGTGCATCACCTCATCACCTAAACAATTAGGCTAAAGCAAACATAATTCAACCAATTCTGAAACAAAAGGGTTCATCTGTTAGGAAAATTCACTCCCTCACCTATGATATCGATCCTTCTTTATAGTAACATGTATTAAGTATGTGTCAGGTCCTATTATATGTGGTGGCATCAGAAGTAGAGGAGTTTTCCTGGAGATTTTTGATTTTTAATGCTTGAATGAAAAGGTCTGGAAATAAGGATCTGGCTACTTGGAAGATTCAAGCTGCCCATGGAGAAGAAAAGATACCCCTGGACAGCCAAGATGATGGCAGCATCCTGTAGCTCACTCAGCATTGCATGGAGACCCTCCCAGAGGAGTCTCGTGTTGGAGGTCAGGAACTCAGGCAAGATCGGCTCTGGGGATGTGTGGATCAACAGACAAGCATCAAAAATGCTGCAAAACTAGAGCTGCTTTGCAAGGTTTTCCTGTGATTACTAATCAGAGACACGTGTGTAGGCCTTTATCCCAGTTGTGCTGTACCTGAGCACTGAAAAGGGAGAACAACCCCATTTACATTTACATCTACCTTTAGATGCCCGCATTCAGCTGGGACACCCCATATTTAGGAGTAAATATTGATTCATAATTTTATGCTTTGCATCCCAGTTTTTCTCCTTGGTAAGCATGAAATGTCCTGACACATCCTGATTCACTATTGCCACTGCTCTGGGATGGGGTCACTGCCTCTGGGATGGGGCACTCACCCCCCTCACAGGGAAGAAATCCTATGGAGACAGGCTGAGAATGCTGGGCTTGTTGAGTATGGAGAAGGCTCTGCAGAGACCTTAGAGCAGCTTCCAGTGCCTAAAAGGGCTACAAGAAATCTGGAGAGGGGCTTTTGACAAGGGCCTGTAGGGACAGGACAAGGGGGAATGGCTTTAAACTGACAGAGGGGAGATTGAGATGAGATCTTAGGAAGTTCTTCCCTGTGAGGGTGATGAAGCACATGTGCAGGCCATGCTGAAACAAGCTCTGGGGTCTACCAAGCCTGGTGTGAGGGACACCAACTCTTGGAGGGGTCCAGCTGCCCTCACAGAACAGGTCTGATCAACCAGCATGGTCATGGCTAGCTGATGGCCGTGGTGGCTACCTGCTTTTGGGGTCAATCATCTGCTTGGCAGCCCCGAGCCATTGGAAAGAAGGCAACTCAAGGATTAAAAGGCATATGTGGAAGGGGATCTGACTTGGGCGAAACACCCCAAACCAACAGTTTGGGGCCAAAGGCCACCCCTCCACCCGCCAGAGCATTCCTGGCATTTCCCCTCTGCTTTTAAAAGCTTTTCTTCAGTTGTTATTCTAAAGAGAAAGCAGCTCTCAACAGTCACATCCGGATGAAAAACATGAAGCTTCCTTCAAAAACAACAGCCCTGGGGATGCGTCTGGGGTACTGAGTCAGCATGGGGCAGGGTGTGCAGAGGGAGCCAGAGCCATGGCAGGAGCTGCCTGCGCCAGCACCAGCAATCACAGAATCCCAGAATGGTTTGGGTTAGAGGGGGCCCTTAAAGCTCACCCAATTCCAACCCCCTGTCACAGGCAGGGACACCTTCCACTAGACCAGGTTACTCCAAGCCCCGTCCTTGAACACTGCCTGGGATGGGGCATTTACCAGTTCTCTGGGCAATGTCCTCGCACACGGTCCCACAAGCCAAAGCCACAATATTTGCAGACACCCAGTACTGAATAAACCAGACTGAAGCTATTTGGATCACCACAGCCCATGTCCTGCTTGTAGAGGACCTGCTGGATGCCTCAAGGGTCATTCTGGGAGGGTCTCTGGTTTATGTATAGACTGGCCCCAGGAACCTATGCTGGGTGAGGCGGGGGCAGAGGTGGGTCATACCTTGGCCGAAGCGGGCCATGCGGTACACCTCCTCGGCGCCTCGGAAGCCCAGCATCCGGCACACCACGTCTCCATCCTTCTTGTCCCAGCCGTCGTCACACACCGTGCCCCAGCGCCGGTCGTAGAAGACTTCCACCCGTCCCTCGTGGGAGCCGGAGCCGTTCACCAGCCGGATCATCCCCTCCTCGGCTGCTGCTGCTGGAAGCAGAGAGGGAGGTCAGAGGGGGCATGGTGGCATCTCACCCACCGTGTGTGGGTGATGTGCCCTCTCCATGATGCATGCAGCTGCACAAAGCATGGGGTGATGCACTTCCAGGAGACCTGGGGACACAGCACCCCTATTGAGCATAGTGCTGAAGGGGTCCCACCAAACCCAGGGTTTTGCTCAAGGTGGATGAGCCTTGCAATGGTCTTGCCAAGGTGGGAAAGCTGTTGGCAGCCTTAAAGTGCTGCAGGGAGGGCAGGTACTGAGCAAGCATCAATCCTGAAGCCATTAAGGTCCACATGGAGACAGCTCAGGGGTACGAAGAAGCCTCTGAGCAACCGAGGGGAGGAGTGAGATGCCAGCAAACCCAGGCACAAAGAGTTTCCAAAAGGGACTGTGAAAGGGGATGGCAAGTGATGAGGAAGCTCTTCCAGCCTGGAAACAGAACCCCAGCCCAAGTCCACGCTGCCTGG